AAGAATACATTTAATAAAACAATGTGTTTCATATTACCACCTTAGAAAAGACTTTCAATACTTAGTGATATTATTAGAAATAGGAACCCCCTCCTTCTCTCAATGATATTCTTAAATATTATATTTGAAGGGAGTTACAAAGGCCTCAACAATGATGAAATAATAGAATAGTCTTTTTATCTTGATATCGAATACTATTAATGGCTAAGATGATCTATCAACCATTTTCTAAGTGAATAAAGAATAGAATATGTAGCAATTATAATTTGCCTCATTTTGGACTTCTTCAACAAATGATTGGCACTCTTCATGAAACTTGTTTCTAGAAAAGAGAATAATGTCACAAACATATATATTTATATAGATAAGAAGTATTCGATACAAAGTAAATATATGTTGATTTGATATTATCTTGTCAAAAAACTCTTTAAAAGCATCTTAGATATGTATTTGACTATAAATGTGTTTATAGTTGATTGATAGGTTAAAAACTAGACCAACAAGTTAGCTATGTGTCGTACATGTCAGTAGCTTATATCAACTACTTGTTGGAGTCATCTAAATTTTTTATAAGTGTATAAGATCTTATATCAATTTTCATCTATGACATCTATAAAAATCAAGGATCAATTGTTTACAACAAGATAATATAAAACAAAGAAAAAAAATTAAAAGAATAAAAACTTAAAACTTTTTTAGAAGATGTAGAATCAACAACTGTCACGGCCATAATCATGTAAGCTAATAATTACATATAGAAATAGGTAGAAGTAAGTAAAAGTAGATAAAAGTAAGTTAATTCTATAATATTTAATATAGAAGCTTCCTAGAAACTTCCTAGATGCTGCTTTGACTTCATAGGTGTCTTTAATTGACTTTTTGGATTAAAAACGTGGTCAACAAGTTGGCCATGTGCCACACATGTTGTTAGCTTGAAGATCAAGCTAACTATGTGGCCCACACGTAGAAAAACTTGCCTTGTAAGTCAAGGCATGTGTCCTACAAAGTCAACACATATTGGAGGTCCTATAGAACGTCGCCACGTAGCCCCTAGTTAGATAGTATATATAGAGACAAGAGTAAAGGCTTCTTCACTCTTGTCAACTCCTTTTTTGCTTCTAGTCTAGTTTCAAGGGTCTCTAGTTTTCTTGTCTTTTGACAATAGCCATTCTAGTTTCTCTTTTCAATATACATACTTATTATTCATATTTTGTTACTTTTCTTTGAGTGAAGGCTTACTTATCTGAACTGTTTTTTCATCGAGTTCTTGTCCTTGACAGATTGACAAGAGTGTACTTACAATATCAGAGCTTTGTTTTTCTTCAAATGAAATATCTACATTATATAAATCTTTTAGATGTCAAAATCAAAGTGTAGATCCTTAAGAGCTATATGTGCTTTTTCAAATAGATAATAAGATATAATTTATATAACATCCAAACTTGACACGTTATAATCCACTTTTTTAATGATAGATGAATATATTATCTTTTTTGAATTTTTTCACTATTCATATCTTAAATATTAATATTTATTTATTTATTTATATAATAATAATTAAATATTTTTTATTATTTAAAAATAATTATTGATTTTTTAGCTTAAATTATTATAATAATTTTCACTAATTCTTATAAAATATAATTCCAAACTAATATATTTTATATCACATTTTCAATCCAAAATAATAATTATTTATAGAATCTTCACCCCAATGAGTAAAAAAAAATAACAAAACTAAAAAAACTACAAAAATAAAAGCACTAACTTCATTCTTGAAAACCAGCTTTTATATCTTATACAATTTATACATCTATTTATATACATTTATAGCTATTAAATACAATCATCTTGTCATTATTGTTATATATTAAAATTATGTATATGTCTATATATATATATATATATATATTGTTAAATATGATATCATTGCAAAGTGAAGAGAAAAGGTGCAATTGTAGCATTGTCCAAAATAAGAACTAAGAAGTAGAAAAGAGGCCAAGTTGGCATTTGGTGAAGGAAGAGTAGATTTAGAAGGGGTGTAGGGTATAAGATGGGATGTAATTTATGCAAGTTGTACTCATCAAAAAAGGGCCCAACTTGAGTAGATGTAATATGGAACCTATAGTGGATTTTTTTAAATTATTAATACTAACTTTAAAGGCATATATGAGCATTGTGCAGTAAATTTAAGAACAAAATCTTCAATAGGTAAGTAAGAAAGAAATAGCACTAATTTAATGGAAAGAGTCAAAACATAAAAGATTGACAAATTTGGAGGAGAGAAGGATTTTAGGAAAAGCTCACTATATTTTAGTGGCAAAAAAAAAAAAAAAAAAAAAAAAAAAAAAAAACTTGCATGGCTACTAAATAAGAAGTTGTGATAGAAGAGTGGACTTGCAAGGTTGTCGAAAGAGACATTTTGGCAAAAAAAATGCACAAAAGAGGTATTTGAAGAAGAAGCCATGGTGCATTGAAAGGCAAAGATGAAGGCACAACATCAAGTTCTACAAGTAGAAGTACTTGCATTATAGGTTACAAGAAGGTCGCAAAGATCGTCTTGATAATTCAATCTCAACACTCAAGGATGGAATGTGGAGGGGGATTATTAAGACCAATTGTGCTTGTTGGTGCTAAGACTCTAACATGGAGTGTGGAAGGAGGTTGTTGAGACCAGTTGTGGTTGTTAGTGCTAAGACTCTAGCATAGAGTATAGAAGGGAGTTGTTGAGACCAATTGTGGTTGTTGGTAGTAAGATTCTAGCATGGTGTGTAGAAGGCAACAAAATTTAGGGACTCTTATTTAGCATACAAAGTTACTAAATTTTAATCCGAAATTGAATAAAAGTGAGCCATATATTGATCTGCAACATATGCCCTCACTATTACTACGCATTAATCCAATAAATAGCTTGCAATCGAGCACTTCATTGCAACTTCTAGTATATATAACAAAGCCGATTTGTATTTCACGACACCTTCAAACATACAACTTGTAAGTCATGAACAACCTTTATTTTCTATTTGGGAGCATGTTACAAAATTTTATTATCCTTATACAATCTATGCTGCAATTGCAATAATTATCCATCTACCCCAACCTCATAAGTTTGCAACACATTCCAATAATGTACTTGTAGCCTACGTAACTTCATGGCAAAGAGAGATTTTAAGAAAGCCATTGAAGTAGAGCTGGAAGATAGAGGACGTGTGAAACAAGATTTGGAGATGAGCAAAAACAAGAAAGAATGGTAGCAAAAATCTTACTCAAAAATGGTGGATTACTTAACATTGGATGTTTACATTCTAATTCCCTCATCTACATATTAACATTTGTATATAATATAGAATTAGATGAAGCTTGATAGCATAATTAAGTACCATACTTTTCAATTTTGTAAAAAGAAGGTTCTTGATTTTGTAACCTAATGTTGGTCAGAACTACATTGGCCTATATGTTGGGCTTAGATTAAGGAAAATCTTCAAGTAAAACATTTATATATATTTTGTTTATGAACCAAATTGTGAATAAACACTTACAATCCTCTTGATTTCTACTTCACTACATTTCTATTTCACAGCATGGAACTCAAAAACATATTTTTACACTAACTGCATATATGCTGAAATGCTTTAGATATTGAAAATGGATCGGCTACCTTAACTTAACTGGCATTATTAACTTTTGTGAAAAAACACTTAACACAAGCAAGCACACGACCAAAGCAACACTGGAGATAATCGTGAGCCCTAATTGAATTTGTGGATGGTCAGGTCAGCGGCGGCCGCCGTGGCCTTCGCTGGCCAGGGGGTGATCCTTCACTCCAAGGATTTATACTGCCATCCCTATCGTTTACAGTGTGTGTTCTCTTCTTCCTCTTTGATCGGGAGCTGTGCAGGTTGAGTCCCCATGAGGAGTTGTAGATTTGGGTCGTTTCTCAGACTGGTCACGTGCCTTAAACAAGTTTTTAGGTTTGTCGCTGTACAGCAATTGCGCTTCTGTGGAGCCGACCTCGATAACGTCGTGCTTAGGGTCGTTCTGTGATGGCTAACCCTATCGACCTTCGATAAGCCTTGGTTGGAGTCATGGTGGGATAGTTCCCATTGCGTGGTTGTGTATGGATGTGGTTTTAGGGTTTTTGAGGAGTTCCTCTGCTAGGATGAGGAATAACATATATGTCTGGACTTCTAAGTGCAGCAAAGGCTGTCTGTGCCGAAACAATGTTCATTATCTCTGAGCCTGGTTTTGTAGGTTTGTGTTTCTGGATCGTCACGCGAATGAACTGGCCGCACTCTTTACCAGCGCCCAAGCGGGATGGACTCGTACTCTCTTGGAGAGTTAGATTTCTGAAGACACTTCTGGCGTTAAATAAGAATGCTAGATCGTAGCAGAGGTGGATCTTACCAACCTGAGGCTTCCTGTAACCTCGGAGTCAAATGTTCCTACTCACAGTTCGTTGACAAGTCTATACGTTCAGGATTATTCGAGTAGAGTGCGTTGATTATCAGTGCTACAGGCTTTGTGACGATGAAAAGCAGACGGGCGGACTGAAATGATGCCATGTTGATTGTCTGTCATCGACCGATTTCGGTTTCTGAAAGCTACACAAGAAGTCCGAGCGGAGCGGGGTTCTGAAACGTGCCTGTGATGATTGTAAACTTATTCTACACTCCGAAAGCGTACGTGTGGAAGCAAAATACACCTCTGACAATCTGATGCACCGTCTCATGCTCCTCAATTGTCTAGATTATCGGTTAACGTCAGTGAATAATGACGAGAACACCTTTGCTTCATCACTTTGGCTGATGTTTCATGATGTTAAACAAGCTGCGTTCTTTCTGAATTCATGTGATTTATGTAGAGGTCTGGTTATCTGGGACGCCGCCTTCGTGTGATGATATACAAACGCAAATATCTTAGGACACCTTCTTACATGGCCTAGCCGTGGATGAGAGTGAATGTTATCTGACGAACGTGGTCTTAGCACAGTATGGGAGTGTCTTTCTAAGGATGAGCATACAAATACTTTCGTTCTACTTATTTGCTTTACGCAATGAGGAAATCTACTTGGAGACCTGAACTGAAGAAAGGTATCCATGTAACTTTGTCACATGCATGTATCCTGGATCCTTACCACTCAATTTATGACACGAGTTCAGTGTTGTCTATCGCCAAATATCGCATGGTGATATACAAACCCAGATATTTTAGGACACCCTCTTAGACGGCATCGCCGTGGATGAGAGTGAATGTTATCTGACGATTTTGGTTGCAGAGGAATGGGGCATCGTTCTAATGATGATCAAACAAATACTTTCGTTCTACCTATTTGCTATATGCAATGAGGAAAAACATTTGGAGACCTGAACTGAAGAATGATGCCGTACCCCCAAACTCCACAAGAGCGAACAGTCTCATGATAGGCTGTGACAGAAGCTGTGTTTGAAACACCTGGAAGACGTCGCTTGAAATGCAGCATATTGAGCCTTCCAAAGCATTTGGCGTCCGCCACTGGAGAAGATATGAGACGCCCAAAGATGAGGCAGTACACTGGAACGGATCCCCGCAAGGCATTCGGCTAAAATTTCACTAATGAGGATTTGGATTTGTATCTGAGGCAATCGAACATAATACGTCAACTGCGGTGTGCGGTGTGCGTTGTCGTAACCGGTGACATCCTCAGAGAAGTTAACAACAGAAGAGAAGGACAAAGCTACAAATTGAAAACCATTCGATCTACACGCATCATCATGCATGCTCAGAGTAAATTCCCACAAGGGTCTTAGCCATTTGAGACCCAAAGTCGACGCTGAACAAGGCAATTCGATTACAGTGCCAAAGAGTTGGCACTGGTTTCGTGACGCAATGTTCTCCAGCCAAGCACCGACAACGCAAATATCAGAGTGGCGAAGAGTAACGGCACGTAAATGATGAGCTAAAGTGACCAACATCGTGTCTCTATATTCGGCTTAAACGAACATGCTGAGGACCATTAGACCATGTTAATGATCTGAGAGCCTGCATCTTTTTAGGAGGTGGGATTCTGCGCTGACACAACAAGTCAAGGGTTGATAATGTTGAACTATGCCGCAATTGCGAACTGGTGGACAAGTTCATTTAGTGAAAAAATTATTTAAAGGATCCTTCATCCAGGATTAGCTTTTGCAAGTTTTCATTATCTGTTGCACAAAATCTTAATTCAGATTCCAATATCAAAGTTGCTTGATCAGGAAATAAAAATATCCAGTCATATTTCATCTATATGTAGGAAATTAATCCTATAATTAACTCAAACCAGTATAAGTAAGAAAATACGAGACTGGAATACGGGAGTTGTAAATGATCAGTGTTGGTTATGAGCAAGCGATATTCGAGTAGGGTACGTAAACATTCATTATCAAATCACTTATCAACATTCATTCGTTTAGATTTCTAAAATCGCCCAGGATTCTTTTTCTCATGCTTCTCTTTTGCAATGTCCCTTTGGCCTTACTAATCAATAATCATGGCACTTTTCTAAGTTAGGAATATTTCGTATATGTGGTAACGTATATTTTTTTTGTAACATCATCAATTTTCACAACTTTCCACACTTAATTTACAAGAAAGTGTGTGATCCAACGACCCTAAAAATACTTATTATTTATATAAGAATTTAAACTGAATCTTTGAAATATAACTTTATGATCATCTACTCTGTTTGGAGCATGCTGTATGTTATTTGAAACCTCGCAGGCGATATTATTCGTCAATGTCGTCGATGCGAGAGTGTTGCTGTGGCGTTTATTTTACGAGCAGTGCCCGTTCTTGTTGCCTTCGTCAACGATCGTCCAACGACGATATGCCTCGTTGCGTCTTCGTTCGTCACGCTGGCTGCGTGGACCAGCTTGAGCATTGCAGACCTCTTGATTGCTCATTGCTGCTGCAGGAGCGATTTCAGAACGCGTCGCTCTGTGAACTCCCCAGATCTGCTGGTGCTGCGTAGTCGATACCGCGCAGAGCAAGGTGTTTTTGTTGTTGTTGTTGGACTGTTGGCCAGTGTCGTTGCCAAACTTGGGGGCAATTGGCGACTATTACTCTTGTAAAATGGATGTAAGTAGAATTTGTGTTTCACCATGCGTGCTTTTCCGAAGTGTTCTTGTCTCTATAATTCGTATCTACGTTTTCATTTTTCTCGTGGTTGCGTCATGGCCTAGGAGTGGAGCTCTTTGGAGTAGATTAGGGCTTGATTTGGCAATTTGCTGTCTGAGTGAACCTGATCACGTGTCTCCATTGTCTTGTGAGAACTTTCCTTCGGTTAGGGTTCGTCACCGTGTGCCTAGATGATCGTACAGTAGCTGGATACAGATGGTTAGCATTGGACACTCTGAATGTGGAGACATTCTGAGTGCTTTCCCTCATTTCCTTTAATCGTTTTACTTCGTGATGCATTCTAATTGGAGCCGATGCAGCTATTGTACATTTCTAATTTTTTGAGGTTTGTGACAATGATGTGATCAAGATCTAGGTTGTACAAATGTAGCTACGATGCGAGCAATTCAGTTATTTCTCGAGATGTTAAGTGTGAAGATTGAGAGCTTTATTTCACTTTATTTATGTACTTTTAAAGTCGTTCATACGTGGGCCTCAACTACTAATGTATGGCTGTATAATGAGATCCTCAAGCTTAGGAAGGGACACCTGATATTTTTGTGGTTTGTAGGCTTCTACTCCTCTGGTGAAGAATGTGTTACTTCTTGATGGTGAGGGGAAGCGCGTGGCAGTCAAATACTTTTCAGATGACTGGCCTAGCTTGTCTGCTAAATTGGCTTTTGAAAAATCTATTTTCACCAAGACGCATCGAACAAGTGCTCGCTCCGAAGGTAGTTGCTAAACAAATCTGCCGTGGGCTATTCTCGTGAATGTATGATGTTATTATCCGGGGCACGGCGTTTTAGTGGCTTACGTAATTCTGTCAAATGGGATTATTAGAGCTACATTTCTTACCAAGATCTTCCTATTCCTAGTACTTCAGCTGGAGTACGAGCTGAAATTATATTCGTCTGATGCTTCAATTCTGTTTTACAGCTGAGATCGGGCTGTTCGATGGTTACATTGTCATATACAAATTCATCTCTGATCTCCATTTCTATGTGACCGGAGGTGAAGATGAGAATGAACTTATTTTGGCAACTGTTTTGCAAGGATTTTTCGATGCAGTCGCACTACTTCTCAGGTGACCTCCTTGGTTGCGAGATTCGTTTATTAGTCTTTTGATTCGTATTTCTTTTGTTTCATGTCTTTTCCGAGGATGAAATGTTTATAGCTTCTCTTTTGGTGTAGTCATTGCTTGTTGCCCTTATGGCGGATCTTCACCGTATTGGCTTTGACAACTGCGTCCTATCAGATATGTGATGACCATCAGCCGCATACAGGGAATCTGGGACTCATGTTAATATTGTGCTGCAGGAACAACGTCGAAAAGAAAAATATTCTGGAGAATTTGGATCTTGTTCTTCTTTGCCTCGATGAAATTGTGGATGGCGGGTATGTCTCTTGATTTTGCACCTGAACTCAGACAAGTGAATTTTGATATTCTATTCGAACTTGTTGAAGCTTTTCAATTCCCTATAATAAGGTGATTTGTATGTTACAGGAGCTATGGGGATTGAGTTTAGATTTTTGCTGATGCACTGTATTGGATATGAGAACGTTGGTGCCAGATGAATACCTCGTTTGAGCGTGTTAGTGGATTTTAGAGTGAAGCCTGGTGAAATGTATGCAATTTTTGGCTAGAATATGTATGTGTATGCTGGCTTCCGAAGTTAATTGACAACAGCCCTGGATTGATCTCGTCTATGCAGAATCATATTGGAGACAGATGCCAATGTTATCGCTAGCAGAGTGGCGATGCGGGGTGCTAATGATGATGTACCCCTTTCAGAGCAGGTACCTGACTTCCTTTCCGTATTACACCAGATTTTGTAGTATGTCTGGCCCATTTTATTCCTCTCTGAATTTGGCGTAACCATATCTAGTAATGTCAACACATTTTCAGTATGATAACGACCATATTACCTGAAAATATGTTCGCAAAAGAAGACACTGTAATTTTCCATGGTCTAACTTGAAGCCCAATATAAATTTACACAAAAAAAATTAGTATTGCTACGATATTTCTTTTTCGTTCAATAAGTCATGGCGTTGTAGGGTTTAATTCATTCACATGCTATTCTTGGAGACAACTTTACAAATATGTTGACCTGCAAATATTCCACTAGCGACTTGGTCGTACTTCCAAGCGAGTACATAATCAGATTGATTCCCTGTCTGTGAAATGTTCTTCACCTTCTATTGTGTGCCTTTTTTTTCTTCGTTTTGTGCAGACAATTTCTCAGGCACTCGCAACAGCGAAGGAGCACTTTGCAAGATCGCTGCTTAAGTAGGACATTGAAACTCGATCTGCTCATGGTGAAATTGAAGACATGAACGTTTTCATATCTTCCAACAAAAATCAAGAATGTCTATCCCAATGACATCGAGCCCCCCCTGCAGTATATGAACACCTCTTTACATCTATATATTCATGCAGAGTCCTTGCAGAGATAGATGTGAAATTGCAGTGATTTATTTGCACTCCTGGTGCTGTGTTGGCTAGGATAAATTCCTGAAATTAACATCAAGAATGCGCTGCTGTAAAAGCTTGTCTTGTGTTCACTGCAGATTGGTGAGTATATTTTTTTAACGATACATGCATTTCTTTTTCATACATATAGCGCTTGGACATCAGCTCACATCTCTTTTTAAAACCTTTGTTCATTTATTTAGCTCATCAGAATTTCCCGTTTGGCATTCATATACTTCCTCGATCCTGGTGTGGTGAAACCTTTTCAGTCGGCTAAGATGTTCTAGTGTCCGAGTCAAACTAACTCACAACCTCAACAGTACCACTTCAATAACACAGAATCGAAGCGAAGAAACTGTAATCTTAAGGAATGTTGAATATGAACGGATAGCTTTCGTCTTGCTAGACGAATTCATCAGAAATATATTGGCCAGATTCCTCTCACAACTTTCCTTCGCGAAATGCTATTGTTCTTTGCACTTAACGAAGGACCATGACATGCACGAAAAGCAGAGATTAAAACGGCATCCATCAACAAGAATTTACGAACGAACTTGTCTTCCACGCTGAAAAAAAACTTTGCCAGGAGGGATCGGCAGATCAAAAATCAGTTTAACAGCATGTGTGCGACAGTCACCTCACAAATCTACAGTTTCTGATTACAGAACATTAAATTAGCAAGAGACAAAAAATTACCATAACCTAGACCATGAAGTGATGCATAGCCTCAGGAACTATGAGCTAGTCGTGGTTCCAACACTCCATCACATGCAATACTTCCATTGCCAACTACAATGGATGGCACTGCCATGTACGATAGAGAAGTGGAGAGAAAAGACAGGAAAAGATTATTGAGAGGGTAACACCGCTTAGCATAATCTGAAAGCCACTTCCTATCCAAATAAAACCGCCTAAACAGTCCAACTGGAATGATTCATGACACAGTAACCTAGGGCCTATGCAAATACACGGAAAGGCTGCATTCGGCATCTGCATCAGTTAGAATGTTCATCAAATGTAAATATATATGGAACAGCAGCATGTATTAAGTCATCTAGAAACTAAATTATAACTTCTCCCTTTGGAAAGGAAAAGTTACATAGAGAGGATGAAAGATTTGCGAACTAGACCTTCAGAAAAGGATTTCGACACTTGAACTACTACATGAAAAGTGAAACACAACTTGTGCGCAAAAATATGTAACTCAAGGAGGAGATCTAGAACCAGAAACTCATGTGAAACGCCAACGACAAAACTAGTGGTAGAAATTCATACATAATTGGAATGAATGCTTAAAAAGGCAGTTACCATGTAACTGTAAATAGAAACCGCAGGATTTGGCTACATCAACTACATCCGCTAAAAGTGCGCAACTGGTGTCACTCGACCTGTGCAGTACTCATCTAAAGTTTCAGTTGGTGAATGTCAGGTGTACCGACACCATTATCTGAACTGACTTTTTTTTCTTGCGCTCCGACGGCTGAACCCTGCTCAGACAATACCTCAATTCTAAGAAAACCTAAAATTGTTATTCGAGAGACACTAGCATTTAAAAATCAACAGAACGAAAAATTTCCAAGTTGACACATAAGGGTGTTTCTCTTTGTTCGGAATGTGTTTTGGTCATGTGCGTCCGAGAGATATTTTCGTCTGACCTACATATGAGTGACATTCTTTAATTAACATCTATTTTTGTAAACTTGTAGAATTCTCGAAAGTATCATCCTCTTATAAAATTATATAAGCATCATTTTGTAACTATGAATTATTATTTTTAGATATAAATAATGAGATTGTGTCAAATTTAACATTTTGAAACGTACCTTCGTACGCATTCAAGACGCAGCTGGGTTCGGACAACAGGGTAGACAATCAACCCCAGTTTCGTACTCAAGAAATGATTCTAATTATAGGAAGACGTGCAACTCCTGCATTAAAGGAACTGCTTAGAGATGGTTATCCATCATGTTTCATTCTTGCTCTGGTTTTAACTGCATCTCTTAGCGTTTATGAATATCAAACATCAGTTTAAAAAACCAACTCGTGAATGAAAAAAAATACCTTAGCAGGAGGATTCTTTGCTTTAGCGTCCTTCTTAGCATCCTTCTTGTCCTTCGACTGTTCGGTAAATGGAAGGAACTCAGTGTTGAGCATAAATGGTTGCAATACTTCGGGAACCCTCACACCGTCTGGAGTTTGGTAATTTTCCAAAATACAGCAAAGGGTTCTCTCAGTTGCGGTAAGAGTAGAGTTAAGCAAATGACAATAGTTCTTGACTTGGTCGTTCATCTGCATATAAAAACAATCAAACAGAAATCATTTATGTATGAATAAAAGATGCTGGTGAAAGGCAGAAAATATTAACCTAGCACAAGTCAAGACCTTCCCAAATTGTGCCCTTAGCGTATGATAAAACATTCAACTTGATGTCCTTTTATATCCTCACATACGAAAGTGAATCATTTTCCTTCAGTTCACACGACTTACAATGCTTTCATAATTAAGAGCATGGGATCAACTCATATCTCTATGATCAGTGCTACAAATATTAACAAGCAAGACTTCACCCGAATAAACAATTAGATTAATTGGCGTGAAAAAGGAGAAAACCTTCTTTTGACCATAACGAATTTCAAGATTCCTTGATTGGTAATCTGTGCAATTAGAGCATGATACAAGCTCACGGTATGTCTTGGAGGCCGGAAACCACGCTTCCAAGTCGTACTTCTTGGCAGCACTATCATTAAGTGCTCCCGAAACAATTGACACCACCCGATAGGGAAGGCCCAACTACATGACACGAGACGGTTGATCAGTCTAAACACCAACATGTAGGAGTGTCTCTGTAGTAAGAATTCAGTGACCAGAAATTTGGGAAGGGCAGAGCTTGACAGCTTGAAAGTGAGGCAAGAAAACTTAAACACGACCACTAAAACTTGAAAATGCAGCTATACATGATCAAATATTGACTGATACTGAAGAAAAGTATCAGCAAAAACTTGATAATCCCATAACGATGTATACATAACTGGAAACCTGAACTTCAACGAGAATCGCCAACTTGGTCGATAAGATATCCACTACAGCCAACTGCTAAAGTCCTCAGCTAAACATGAGAAGTTTGTGAGCACCAATACCTGTTGATAGAATTCTTCTGAGTTTTTCAACATTTCTTCATGCACTTCCCAAGAGTCATTATCATTTGGGCTAGTAATACAGAACTGCTCCACCTTCTCAAACTGATGTACTCTGAATATTCCAAGCGTATCTCTTCCGTGAGAACCAGCCTCCTTTCTAAAGCAAGTTGAATAACCAGCATACCTAAACATGACAAACAACATATTAAAAGAAGGCATCTATAAGAATAAGAGAAAAATTCATGTGCAACCACTAAGTATATGAGGAGCCCTCGACCGACGATGTGAGCCTTAAAATAAAGGCTTTTAAAAATTCCAGCCGATACAGTCAAGTAATCCAGAAGTACTCAAATAACCAAATTAACCATATTCATCACATTAGTTTGCCTTTTCAGTAACAAATTACCAAGGAAGAGATGGACGGACAGAGAAGTTACTTAATGGGCAATGCCTTGGGATCCATCCAACTGCCACGATGAAATGAACATAAAGGTTGTTCGGCAGTTGCGATTAAGTACTTGTCATCGCCTTCCCCAGTCACCTGCGGAATAGCAAAGCCTAGTTGATCAGTAACTGAAGAGGCCGAATAAGAAGGTTTGTTGTAGTAACTCTCCCTTTATCACCTTGCAATTCAATGCGCAACTATTAACTCGTTACAGTGCCTACAATACATCAAGATAGTGCTAACCTTATAGAGCTCCTCGTCAAACTGAGCCAATTGAGCGCACTCTGCCATCACTTCCTGTCGCATGAAGAAAGGAGTCTGCAACAGCGTGTACCCTCGCTTGAGCAAAAACGCTAAGCCGAAATTGATGAGGGCTTGATTCAACATCACTCCGTATTGTTTTAGGAAGTAGCCCCGGCCCCCAGCTACATCTGTACCTGCAGTAATTGGAGCACCGGGAAACACCAACCACATTCAGAGACTATTCTCCTCCATAAAAGGAAGAGCAAGAGTCTCATTCAGTTTCCAACGTGTAATCTTTGGTGGCAGAACTCTTCAATGGGCAAATACCATCACGCATACACTGACAGCTGATAGATCAGAAGGACCTTGTTACCTGCTTCAAGATCAACAATGCCCAATTTATTCACAAGATCTACATGGTTCACAAGGCCTGATTGGTCTCTCGGAGTCCCCCACGTCCGTACAACCAAATTGTTATCCTGTTTCGGGGAAAACAGAATACCCGCAATATCAATTTTCATGCGAATAATTAACAATCTGAAAAACAACAAGTTAGGAAAACGCAGTTTTTCTACACAAGTAAAGGAATGCACGGGGAAAACCTATTGTCCCTGTGTCTGGGTCCCAGGAACCAACCGAAAAGTTCCTCATAAACTTCTACACCGCTCCAATTTTACCTCGTTGTTGTCTATAGGCACGGAATCATGAACCAAGTTACCAACCAACCGCAGGCTAGCCTCCATGGCCACCTTGCACTCCGCAGTCTCCTTCTCCTTGGCAATTTTGGCCTCCTCCAATTTGCTCTTCTCCACAAGCAACTCCGCAGTATCCTCTTTCGCCATTTTCTTCTTCTTTATCCCATCCTGCACCTTGTTCACCTCCTTGCGGATGTTATCTACCTCATACTGACGCTGGCGCCACTCCTTGTCCAGCTTGATGACCTCATCCACCAGCTCCACGCTCGCGAACCGACGTCGCTGCGACTCCCGAATGCGTTCAGGGTCATTGCCCCGCTCCTCCCGGAACAAGAGTATGTCCAACATTGCAAAGTCGAGAAACTGCTACCGAATTCAAATTCGCTCGCTCGCTGCTCCGCAATGCCGATCCGCAGCAAGCGACGCGAGAAACTGTAAACGCCAAGATCAGAAATCTGGAGATGGTTTCATGAACAATGGGCGAGAGGGGGGTTGGGGGGGAGGTTTAGGGTTCCAGGGCCAGAGAGAAAGAGAGAGAGATCCCCGCACTCATAGGGCCTCTTTCCCTACCGACAACGTTCGAAAGTCGGGAACGGAGTTCGAGAACGGATTACGCTATGCCACTTGTTACCTGCCGGTTGGTGTATTTCTTTGGACAACGTGTGGCATTAATAATCTACCCGGTTGGTGTGCCTGTAACCATGACAAGTTTCTATTCCTGTAGGGAAGGGGGTCGTGAAGATTATCAGTTGGAACGTCAGTTTGTACGTTTTGAATGTTAAATAGTTCAATATTTTATGGTTTTGACATTTTCCAAAAGATCAAAATTTATGGTTGCTTAATAGTCACCGTGAATGCATGAATCACCAACAAAACAAAAATATGACAAGTGGATTTTAATTATGATGTGATATGTACATACATGTGTGTATATTTATATATATATATATATATATATATATGTGTGGGGGGGGGGGGTAACATGACAGTTTTTGTGCATTTACAGGTGTCAGAGTTATTGGTCAATTCTAATAAGGAATAATATGGATTTCTAAAAGTTTGAAACAAACTTCAACTCCATTGTTTTCAAAATATAATTTATAAATGTTTAATGTTTGAGAATTTCATGTGAAGTTCTAAATTTTCTTTTTTTTAAAGATGATTTAAAAAAAAGTTTAAAATTCAAAGCATATTCAATGTTATATTGTGTTACTAATAATCACACCCTTTTAATGTAGGACATTTGAAACTATATCATACATTGTGTAATACAAGACATAATTTGACCTACTCATCTATTATACAAAATGAGTAAATATAATATATGTCATTCGAAACCATGTCCTATATTGTGTAATACAAGACATAATTTGACTTATTCGTCTATTATACAAAATGAGTAAATATAAATGGAGAATGTAAATGTGATTAGAAGTATATAAGAATGGTAACTTTGTATTTAAAGCTTAATAACTATGTTTTGCCATTTTGAAATAACTATGAGTTTCAAAATAATTATCTTCACATATGACATAATTTTGAATGATTTAACAACAAATTTCTTATATTTATAATAATAATATTAATAATAAAAAGAATAAAATCCTTCTCTTAAAAGAACTTGCTCATAATCAAATATATATATATATATATATATATATATATATTTATATATTTTTTTCTTATATTATAGCTAATTAATATCATAATACTAATTATAATTTTAATAACTAATACAAAATTCAAACCTTTCACTATCTCTTTTATCATATAATACCATCAATAGTGTTTTGAAAACCTTGGAATGGCACTACTTATAACCATATGTGGTCCTCAAAACCTATAATTGGCTTTAAAAATTTATAAGCTATTTTTAAAGTAACAACACAATCATAATATTTGACAAATATTATATATATTTGAAATAATATTATAAAAAAATATTATATATATTATATATATATATATATATATATATATATATATATATATATATATATATAAAAGTATTCTACAATGTTATTCAATTAAAGTCTTTAAATAAGAATGTTCAAGGAGGCAAGTAGTGGTTTTTATTTGTTGCATCGATTGGTCTTTGTTTTTAACAATAAAAATTATGTTCTATAGAATTCTCAATCTATTTTATAATTCATTGTTCTTTGTTTTTATCAAAAAAAACTTAACATCGTCTTAAATCTATAATGCATTTTTCTATTAATTATAGGGCAATCATAATTAATCACAACATATTTTACATCGAAGTAGCAAGAAGAACATGCATCAAAGAAATTTGTATATATCTACGCCAAAGGACTCTCTTTTGGTCTCAAGGAGGATGATATTCTCGTAGTCTTTGCTCAGTGAGTTTTTAATAATTTTAAGACTTTATATTTAATCACAATAGGTTGGATTTTATGATTTATTTGTGATAATATCTTATCATATAGTGGAAACATCTCTATTGCATTTTTGTATTATTTTTTGTTCTACAATGTAAGTCCTAGTCTATGTCACGGACATACATAAGTATAACAAATATGATTAGGTAGAACTAGATAAAAATAGATAAAAGTAGGTTAATTTCATAAGACCTTTTAGAATAGCTTCCTAAAATCTTAATAGAGACTACTTTGACTTTACATGTATTTGTGATTGATTGATAGGTTAGAAACTTGGTCAACAAGTTAACCATGTGTTGGTAGCTTGCAAAACAAGCTAACTATGTGATGCACATAGTTAGTCTACTCTCAAGACTTTTTAGTCTTCTTCTTTTTGGAAATAGCCATTTTAATTCAATATTATATCATCTTTGAGTGACTTTCTAGTTCCTTTCAATGACACAAGAGTATATTGAGGATTTTCTTTCTTTGAGATTCATGTCCTTGATAGTTTGACAATAGTGCTAACTTACTGTTTTGTCTTGTTTTAAAAGTAAGTGAGTTACTTGACTTCTATTGTTGTGTTTTAAAGGTTCTTGACTACCTACCTTTAAACAAAAAATCTTATTTTTTAACCTTAAAATTTTCCTTAAAGAGAGTGAATTATCCCTCTTTTTTGAAATTTTTAATAGAGATTGCAGATTACCCTCTTCTAATTTAACTTTTTAAATTTCTTTGAGTTGTTTATGGAAGGAAAGATTATGGATGCTACTCTGAGCGAAAGTGAGAATAGATTTACAACTATTGGAAATCTTCATGATCTTGTCAACACTCTAAGAGTGAAAATCTCACGTATTTTCAATGTGAATTATAGAGGTACTATGCCTATGCCTATGGAAAAAATTCAGAGTCTGCAGCAAGAAATTGTATAATTGAAGGAAGCAAGTAGATCAACCTTATAACTAAATCTAGAGAGATTTGCTTCTATAAGTATGACATAGACAAGGATTAATATGTTTGAGAAGTTTGATAGAACAACATCGAAATTTCAAGGATTTTTGCAATAAATCAAGGTCTATGTAAGATTTCATCCTTTCTAATATTCCAATGGATTTACTCAAGTTGGATTCATAGGCGCACTTCTATCAGGAAGTACTCTCTCTTCATTTGCACCTTTAATAGAAAAAGATTTGTGACTCCTTTATGATTTGAATTTATTCATAGAAGTGTTTATGGCCACATTTAGAGAAAGTAATCAAGAAAGAGTAGTAGAGACCAAGCTCTTATTTTTATGGCAATGATCACAATTAGCTACCTTATATGTTGCTAAATTCTAAAACCTTACGTGTGATGTGGAATGAAATGACAAAGCCCTTATCAATCAATTTTGATATGGATTGAAGGATAATGTCAAAGACTTGTTATTAATAATGTCAAAGGCAAAATCTTTGGAATAATTTATTGCTCTAGCTATTATATGTGACAATGGTTTATTTGAAAGATGTTAAGAATAAAGATTTGGCTGGAGAGGAACAAATCAAGTAATGACAACAGCTCTTAAGTTTTCAAAAACTTATTCATCAAGATGAAAATTAATGTAAATTAATATAGTACATTTTAAACCCCTCACAAAGCAAGAAAAGAGTCAATGACGTCAAGAGGGCTTATGTTTATATTGTGGAGAAGTTAAATACACTACTCAACATTGTCCAAAGAAACAACGCAATCACAAAATGAGAAGCATGGATGCCAAAGAAGATGAGGTGTCAAAAAACAAGTCTCTCCAACTATAATAGGAACCATGTGGCTAAAATCTTGTATAATTCTTGGTAAAGTTCCTATTCTCTCATCAAATTTCTTACCTTGTTTTATAATAGAAGTTTATTTAGGACCAAAAAATCATAAAGTCTTAGCTTTGTTAAGTTCAGGAGCCTCAACCTATTTTATAGATGAAAATTTTGTCAAAAAACAAGAAATATCATTAGTCAAAAAAACTAAACATGTACAAGTAGAAGTCATAGATGATTGTTTGTTATCTTCTAGAAATATTACATATGAGACTATTACTTTATATGTAATAATTAAATATCATAATAGCATAGTAATATTAAATATAATAAGATTTTCATCTAATCCAATTATTTTAGGATTTTCTTGGTTAAAAATATATAATTTTTAAATAGATTTGATTTCTTGTAACCTAATTTTTTTTGATAGTTTAATCCAAAATCTTGTTAGATAAATAGAAATATATAAGTCTAGTATATCTAAATCTTTATTGGTAAGTGCAAAAGCTTTTATGTTTGCCGCAAAAGAAGGATTATCTTTTGTTTTATATACTATGTCCATTTTTGATAGTAAGAAGACGTCAAGTGATATTCCTATCTAATATCAAGATTTCTAGGATGTTTTTGAAAAGAAGAATGCATTCTTTTAAAGCATTGTCCTTATGATTTTTCTATTGATCTTCACAAAAGGGCTCAACCACCATTTGGACTAATCTATAGCCTATCATAAAACAAGTTGGTTGCACTCAAGGAGTATATTGATGAAAAAATGGCTAAGAATTTTGTACATCATTCTAAATCTTTAATCGAGGCTCTTATCTTATTTGTGAAAAAAAAAAAGAAAAAAAAAGAAAAAAAAAAAAAAGATGAATCTTGGCAGATGTCTGTAGACTATTGACGACTCAACAAGATCACCATCAAGAATAGATATCTTCTACTTTTGATTTCAAAACTTTTTGATCAATTCAATTAAGCAAAGTTCTATATAAAAATAGATGTACAAAGAACATATAATTTGGTATGTATTAAAAAAAGAGATGAATAGAGAATTGGATTTTGAAATAGGTATGGAAATTTTGAATATAATAACATGCCTTTTAGACTCACATATGCACCAACTACTTTTTAATATCTAATAAATGATGTCTTTTATGAGTTTCTTCATGAATTTATTATTTTTTATTTAGATGACATTATAATCTACTCTAAGCTTATAAAAGAGAATGAAGTCCATGTTCATCATATGTTACATAAACTTAGAGATGCAAGATTGTATGCAAAGTTAGAAAAGTATGTATTTGATACTACTCAAGTTGACTTCTTAGGATACATCATTTCTAATAAAGAACTA